GCGCCCTGTGCGGAGCAGGAGCCACGCGGAGGGCTGATGGGGTCACCCGTGCGTGCTACGTGCTGCGGCACGTGGAGGTGGGAGGTGACAGCACGCTGCACAGAGGGGCCTCTCCGTGGTCAGGTGTCCCCACGCCGGTGGGAGCTCCTGCACCGTGGACGTGCTGACCAGGAGCAGCCATGAAGGTGACGCTGCTGGGCTTTGATGGCAGCGTTTGGTAATATCTTGTCTCTCTCCTCGCAGTGACGAGCGCGCTGGCCTCCATCCTGGGTAAGTCCCTGCTCTGCTTCCTCCTTTCCCCAGCGGGAGGGCGATGGCAGCGTTTGGGGCTCCGCGGCGGCAGAAAACCCTTGGTGCTGTCCCAGTGCCTCGAGTGCCTGCGGGGCCCCAGGACGGGGTGGACCAGAGGGCACGGGGTGTGCTACAGGGCGAGGGAGGAGGACGGGCCGTTGGCTGTCTCATCCTCCTGGTTTCGTGCCGAGGGGCAGAGCAGTCCCAGCCCACGGTCCCGGGAAGCTGCATCTGTCCTGGGGCCGACCTTGTCTTTTCTTCTCCTGGCAGGCGAGCAGACCAAGGCGCTGGTCACGCAGCTGACCCTCTTCAACCGCATCCTGACTGAGCTGCGGGAAGACATCAGGGACCAGGTGAGATGGTGGGGCGGTATCGGCTCTCCCTGGGCTGGATTTCCCACGAGCGTGGTGCCAGCCAGTACGCTGCATGCCCCTGACGCTCTGTGCTCTGCTGCCTCGCAGGTGAAGGAGATGTCTCTGATCCGCAACACCATCATGGAGTGCCAGGTCTGCGGTGAGTGCTGGCGAGGCTCTGCTCCCACCTCAGGGGGCAAAGGGCCACCCCATCTCACCCCCTGCCCGACCTTCATCTTCTCAGGCTTCCACGAGCACCGGTCCCGCTGCAACCCCAACCCCTGCTTCAACGGCGTGGACTGCATGGAGACGTACGAGTACCCTGGGTACCGCTGCGGGCCCTGCCCGCCGGGGCTGGAGGGCAACGGCACCCACTGTGCCGACATTGATGAGGTGGGCACGCTCCTGGGGTGGGTCAGCAGGCCCAGCGCTGCCAGAGCAGCGCGGGCAGACAACGCTTCCCCTCTCTGGTTGCATCCTCGGTGCAAGGAAGGGTCCTGCCGGGATGTCCCGGGGCAGTGGCCACCCCAACGTACCCGAGGGTGAAGGCTGTCTCTCTTCTCGTGCGGCAGTGTGCTCATGCCAACCCCTGCTTCCCTGCCTCCAAGTGCATAAACACGGCCCCTGGTTTCCGCTGCGAGCCCTGTCCCCGCGGCTATCGCGGCAACACCGTCTCCGGCGTCGGGGTGGACTACGCAAGGGCCAGCAAGCAGGTGAGCGCAGCGCCGCGGGACTCGGCTGGATCCCTGTGGGTGCTGCGGGCTGCTAAACTGCAGGGACAGGTGGAGGATGCTGTGCCTGCGGGAAGAGGGACAGGGGTGGGCAGAACTGCAGGCAGGGAAAGGCTCTGGGTGACGGTTTGTCCCACGCTGCTTGCAGGTTTGCACGGATATTGATGAATGCAACGATGGGAACAACGGGGGCTGTGACCCCAACTCCATCTGCACCAACACGCTGGTGAGCAGAGCTGCCCCACTCCCCTGCCTGGTGTTCGGGGCCGCTTTGCTCCCCTAATCCTGCTTCTGCCCCCTCTCTCCCAGGGCTCCTACAAGTGTGGTCCCTGCAAGTCAGGGTTTGTGGGGAATCAAACGTCTGGCTGCATCCCGCAGAAGTCCTGCAGCACCCCCACCTCCAACCCCTGCGACATCAACGGCTTCTGCGTGTTCGAGAGGAATGGCGAAATTTCATGTGCGGTGAGCGAGGGATGGAGGCAGGAGGAGGGTGAAGCAGGGGGGTGCAGGGGGTATTGGCACGGGCGGCAGTTGGTCCTGCCGGGGCCCTTCCCCGCTTCCCAGCCCCTGATTTCTTCTTTCTTCAGTGCAACGTGGGCTGGGCTGGCAACGGCAACGTGTGTGGGCAAGACACGGACCTTGACGGCTACCCAGACGAGCCCCTGCCCTGCATCGACAATAACAAGCACTGCAAGCAGGTGGGCTCCCGGAGAGGGAGGGCGGCATCCTCGGGCAGGGGGTGCCGGGGCTCACGGAGCCCGTGACAGGGCTGTGCTTCAGACCTCGTCTCCTCCCCGTCTTTAACGCTGTCTGTGCCTGCAGGACAACTGCCGCCTGACACCAAATTCGGGGCAGGAGGATGCCGACAATGACGGCATCGGGGACCAGTGTGATGACGACGCTGACGGCGATGGCATCAAGAACGTCGAGGTGGCTGTGGTGGGCGGGCAGGCCGTGCCGGTGGCTCTGGGGGCCGTGCCGGGCAGATGGCTTCTCCCCTTCCCTTGGGGCTGACTCCCTCAAGATACTTCTCCTGGGGATCAGCAGGCTTGTGGCTCTGGGATGGTCTCCCTCAGGGTGCTGGAGGAGATGTCCTCCTGCCCTGGCCGGTGCCAGACTGCAGCCTCTTGTCTGCCACTGCAGTGCGGGCATCCCTGTCCTCTTCCCCGCAGGACAACTGCCGGCTCTTCCCCAACAAGGACCAGCAGAACTCAGACAC